GGGGGAGAGGGGGAGAAGGTGTCCTGGCAGTTGGGAGCCGAGGAATAAAGTAAACAAATCTCACAGGAGGAATTGAGAGGGAAAATCCCAGAAGGGTGGCTACCTCTGCCCAGGAGAGAAGCAGCAGATAGTAACACAAATAATAAAAACCCAGAGACAGAAATTGGGGTTCCAACCGGAAAACCAGAAAAGCAAAGCAATCAAGTCACTAGAGAAGTCTTGACTCTACCAAAGCTAAGTGACCGCAGACTAAGCCTCTCTCTCCTCCCATTTTATGTTCCCTCTAGTGCTGGGATTAAAGGTGTGAGGCACCACCACCTGGATTTGTTTCTGTATTGGTCTTGTGTAGCCCAGGGTGGCCTTGAACTCACAGACATCCTTCTGCCTCTGTCTCCCAAATTTTGGGATTAAAAGGTGCGTGCCACCACTGCCTGACCTCTAGTGGCTTTAGCTTTGCTTCTGGTCTTCAGGCAAGATTTACTGATCAAAATACAAATCAAATAATATACCACTACAGCAAGAGAACCAAGCAGAAGACAGGATTATGTAGCGTTTCTTGGTTTCTTGGGGATGAGGGGCGGGGTGGGGTGGGGGGGGGAGAGGTTAGTTTTCCAGGGTGATTTGGGATTGGAGGAATTATGTGGCTTGATCTTGGGGCAGGCCCGGGGATTGGTGGGAATTTTTTCTGTAGGGCGGGGCCTGGCCACTCTCCCACCTCAGAGGGCTGGGAATGGCCTTTATAGCCTTTAGGGAATGGCCATTATGACAGTCTGGGGGCAGGGCCTAGCCACTGGAGTGCCACAAGCTGTCCCTGCCATCCAAGTCGTGTAAATAGCCGACATTCATCTCGTTGTGGAATTTTCATGCCCAATTCACTATACTTTGTTCTATAGTAAACTGCCCTCCCTTTCTGCCTGCCGCGAGCCTGGCTCATTTCTTCTTTCCCACATGTAGGCAACTGGCTTCTGCTTTCAGAGCATGTGTTTTTCATGCTCTTCCCCCGCATCTTCTTTCTAGTTTCATGACCTACACAGACAGACACACAGACACACAGACACAGACACAGACGTCTACATTGAAGAAGTCATGGGTTTTTCTTTTCGAGTCTGTGTTTAACATACTGACTTCTTGTTCCACTATCTTCCTGTTCACTTTTATCACCAAGTAAAACCCTTCAGGTACACATACCATACCATAATTTCTTCACCCATCCATCTGGTGACGGACACACTGGCTGGCTCCATTTCCTGGCTGTAATGAATAAAGCAGCAATAAATATGGAGGCCTGTGTATGCCAGGAATGGTGACTAGGAGTCTTTTAGGCACAAACCCAAGAGTGGGACAGGATTATATGGTAGTACAAGTTTAAGCTTTCTGAGAAATTCCCAAACTCATTTCTACAATGATTGCACCAATGCGATTTTTGTTATTCGTATAACATTAAATGCAAATTTCACTTTCCTTTGCTAGTAATATAGATATTTGATATATTTTCTCACATAATTAAAAACACTCGTTAAAATGGGGGGATGATAAACATTTGTTGCATTTTTTGTATTTAATATTTTGATAAAACATACAGCTTTATAAGAAAATGAAAATCACCAAACTTAACTCAGGAAAAAAACAGTCCACTGGACAAAAAGTAAAAATAAAAGAATTTGAAAATATAAAACCAAATAATTGTAATTGAAAATATTTCTAAAGATAGAGAATAAGCAATTCAGTTTTTCACTTGCTTGAAGAAATGAGTTTGTTAGACTAACATGCCTCTGAAATCTACACCAGGGTTACATACGCTCAGAAGGTGAAGTGAGAAGGTCAGTAATGGGACAGGGGAGCCTGCCTGGCAGAAACAGGGGTCCATAAGATGAAGCTGTGTAAAATCGCACAGGGCCAAGTTCAAATCCAGCTTCGAAGTTTCTATTCTTCGCCGTCCCATCCACAGCTACGAAGTGTTCGTTAACAATACTTAAAGTAAATCTGCTGCTGAAGAACGGCACGAAGTTCCTGCATGCCACAGAGGAAGCATTTCACAGAACATCGTTCCTAATGAAATCCCAGGTTTCTGCTGAGGGAACCCCAGAAATGCCTCCCATCTCCTATGCCAGTGAGAAGACTAGTGAACTTCAAATGTCAAAAAACCTAGGCATTGAAAAATATTACTGTTAAGTTTTGTGTACGGAAGAGAGTGGGAATGCAGATCTAAGCCCAGGTGCCCAAGGAAGCCAAACGCATTTTGGCGCCCTGGAGCTGGAGTTACAGGTGACTGTGAGCTAACCCACCTGGGTGCTGAGAAACCAACAGGTCTCTAAGAGCAGCTCGGGTTCTTTAAGTACTACCCGCTGGAGACTTGAGAAAGCAGACTTCAGTGAGACTTAAATCCCGGTCTCTGTACACGAATTCAGGGAGCTGACCAGACTGAGCTAAAGTTAGACCCCGATTTCTTTCCTGGCCCCAAAAGACACCATCTAGGGGCAGGTAAATAGTTACAGTTGAGAAAATCGAGTTTACGCTACAGGGTCACTTTATTTTGAGGGTTCCAAGGCTCCGCCCCACTCCTCAGTTTCCCGCTATCCTAAGGGATGTGAGTCTTCAATATTTTCCCTCTGAAGAGCGCACGCCACGAGTCACCCCTTCGCAGGTCTAGAGGTCGCAAGGCGGGACGGAACCACGCATCGTCAGCTTTCGGCCTGGCACCCAGAAACAAGCAAAAAAAAATTCACATAGCCTATACACAGAGGCTAACAGCACTCAGCAAGCATACCGCATCACGTTGTCCATCGGCGGGCGGAGCCAATGGCCCACTGCTCCAATGAGAACGTGCTCTCACGCGGCCTGATTTGCATGTGCTACAATCAAGGAACTATAACCTAGCCCGGGGTTGGGAACCCTCTTCCAATCCCTATGCAAGTATCCCCAGCTCCTTTCTTGATGCCTTGGGGGCCCTGAAAAGGGCCTTTGGGTTGGGGTGTTGGTGCAAGAGACCGAAGGTCTGAAGCCGGTGGTGGCACTTAGCCGCCGAAGCCATAAAGAGTACGGCCCTGGCGCTTGAGCGCGTAGACCACATCCATAGCCGTGACTGTCTTGCGCTTGGCGTGCTCGGTGTAGGTGACGGCGTCCCGGATCACGTTCTCCAGGAACACTTTGAGGACACCGCGAGTCTCCTCGTAGATGAGCCCGGAGATGCGCTTGACGCCGCCGCGCCGAGCCAAGCGCCGGATGGCAGGCTTGGTAATGCCCTGGATGTTATCTCGCAGGACCTTGCGGTGTCGCTTGGCGCCGCCTTTCCCGAGTCCTTTGCCGCCTTTACCACGTCCAGACATGGTGGAATACGGGAGAGGATTGAAACGAGAGAAGACTGTCCCACAGGCTGCAAGCAAGAGCCTTATATTGGCTGGGAGCGGACCTGTTTGAAAACAGCAAGCAGTGGGCGGAGCTCTAGACACCGCCCCCTGACTCTTTACTCCTGACAGCGTTAGCTCCAAATCTGAAAATCCTTAACATATTTGAGAATTTAAACGATATAAGGTTTTTTTTATTTTCCCCTTCTTTAGTGCAAATAAAAAGGCCGCATCATGCTTGCTATCTTCAGCACCTTCTGAGTCATTTTCTCTGCAGAATGCTTATCCTTAGACTACTGCAAAGTAGTGTGGAAATGGATAGACGCTAGCACTAGAGATCTAGCTTACTAGCCCTTATGTTAAAGCAGTTTACATTTTCATGTGTGGGCCTTTGGAGTGGATGGATGGTCATTTCCTTTTGTGACCACGCTAATACTCCCCTTTTTACTTCCTGTTCTTATTCAATTGTTTTTCTGCAGTGTGTGGGTTTTTCTGCTTCTGCCGGACAAACACATTAGTATTTTCTTTTCAACCAGCTGTCTGTTTCGATAGTTACTTAGCTCAGCTACTGTAATGTGCCACTTCGATAAGCTTGCATCTCATAGCTTGCATTTAAAACTTACAAGTTCTCCCCAGGTGCGGTGACTCACACTTGTAATCACAGCAGTGTGGAGGGTGAGGCAGGAGGATTACCACAAGCTGGAGGCCAACCTGAGGTGGACAGACTCAACTACATTTCACCCCTCTCTATTCAGAGGTCTAACAAGTTACACTTGTTAGAAGCCTGACTTTGAATAGATTTTTTTTTTTTTATTGCAAATCCCCAAACCAGAAAGGAACGCTTTTGGTGATGTGTGTTGAGAAGACCGCAGGATTTAAGGGGGCGGGGGGGGGGGGGGGGGGGGGG